CACTGCCCTCAGGCCCCAGATGACACTCAGAGTGTCCTTCGGAGACACCTCTGCTCACCACCTCCTCTAAAGACTCCCTTTCTCCACTTTCTGGCCTGTCCCTGGTCTGTCCCCTACACGGCACTTGTGGGTCCCTGACATCACATGTAGATCTTTCCTTGTCTGTCTCCTCCCCACAGAAGGTGAGCTCCCTGGGGCCGGGGCTTGTCTGACCTTGTTGCACCCCCACTGCCTGCAACAGGCTGCAAAGGCCTGGGGGTGAAGGAGTGAGTGCTCCCAGGGGCCTGCAGCTCCTGGGGTGTATGTGCCTGTTTCTGAGGTTGGTGGTGAGGACAATGTTTAGTCTGGTTAAGACTTTTCTCCTGATGCTTGACATTTATTGTTATCATCATCATCAGTTTTCTAAATTCAGTACTCAGCAATGAATAACTTAGGAAATGAACCATCACTGAGGTTTCCCTGCCCTTCGCCACTTCAGATTATGAGCTTTTTCTGCTTCTGCACCCCCTTTTCAATCCTACTCTGCTCCCCTGTCCTCTCCCCTCAGGTCCACACAGCAGCCCTCCCTCTGCTCCCAGAGCCCTGTGCTCCCCAGGAGTCACCAGCAAGTCTCTGTCTCCCCTCCTCCCATGCACCCCCAGGGACTGTCCCCTCCTTACCAGCCAGCAGGAGCCCCTGCCAGGGGACAAGTCCTCTGAGCACAAGGGCTGAGGGGGACTCCATGGTGTCAGCTGCCTGCCCTGTCCCTCCCTCCGTGAGAAGAGCTTCAGGTCCAGAAAGGCTCCCAGGCACCTCTGTGTGGACCGGAGGAATCTGCTGTCCTGCTTATAACGGGCTGAGCCTTTCTTGGGGCAAGAGGCCTTTCCTGGTCATGTAGGTTGGGGCGGGGCCTGTGCCCAGGACCCTCCCTCTCCCACCCTCATTCGGGCTACTCCTGTCTTCTCCTTTCCCTTTCCCTTTGGTCTACATTTCTGTTCCCTAGGAACTGCTGAGGCCTCTGCACACACACACACACACACACACACACACACACACACACACACACACAC